AGATATAATTTTTTCAATGAGAGATCTTATCGGAGTGCTACAGACAATAAACATTTCGCAAGCGACTTGCAGACACGTGCTGATACACAGAACTTTTCCTTGGAGAAAAATTGACTAAACGTGAGCGGCGCGCTATAGGAACTGAAATAAACACTTGGTTCGTCAAGGAAAGAGTATTTCTACTGTTTGGATGAATGATCTGTGTCAAAAAGAAGCGGAGATCTCAGTTTTTCGACTAGGCCACGGAACGCTTCAGACAATAAACATTTCACAAGTGATTTGCTGACGCATGCAAAACACAAAACTCTTCCTTGCAGTTTCATAATTTACTATTCTCAAAATTAACTGGGAGTCAATGTAAAGCCAAAGGCAATTATTTTGTTTAAAAACTATGAGGACTACTTGCAAAATAGTTCTTTGCCCCGGTGAGCTGTTCCAGCCGTAAACTGCAAAGTAAACATTACATGTAATATGCAATATTCGGTAAATGAAAACAGTTGGTTGAAATAAGGAATTTAAGCGACTGTTTCAATTTTCCTCCCAACTTCTTGGCAGCTAAAGATCAAGCAAGTGTTAATAAACGGTACAGCTGTAGTTTGTCGGTGAACTTGCGAAGTGATCGAAAACTTGAAATAGTTAAGCTTTCATTGACGTGTTTTATAACAATATGCACACTTATATCTGAGCTGCACTGTAAATACATGACAGGAAATGTCAGCTTTGATTTTTTAGTATGAACTCCTAATATGTCTGGATGAGGATTAACTGTGAAGGAAAAATAAATTTTCACTCCTGAACAGAAAACTGTAGGCCTACAAAGCTACTCCACAGCATCTCTGTTGGTGAAGGTCAAAGACATCTTGTTTAAATAATAATCAGTAATTTGTCTTGAAATTTTGTTCAGCATCATTTTGTAAAGTAATTCCTCATATGAACAGCATTCAGAATTACTACTACATTTATCAAAAACATGTGGGAATGACATTTTTTGCAATTTACCCAAAGCCATTCATTGATCTGAATTGATTGAACTCTTCAATGTTACAATGTTTCTTACTTTTACAGGGAAAATGATGAATACTGTGTTGAATAATACAAAAAAAGATGATAGGTCATCAAAATATTTTTTGTGGATATTGTAAAAAACCTGCATTATAACTGGCTTTTCGTGAAGGCTTTTAGTTACAGTGTGACGTATGTCTCGAACATGAACTTCATAACAAGAACTCACATTACATGTATATCTAACAAAATTAATGATGAATGCACTAGTACTGTTTAGGAGATATAGAATGATTTTGGACTTTCAGTTGGGTGAATTTGCTGTGGAAACTTCTTTCAAGTATGTTTTGTGATGATATCATGGTTTGTTCTTGCTGGAAATGAAAAAAAAAGTTCTACTATCAAAAAGACAAAAACTGTTTCACATGTTGGGGAATAGTCGTGTTTAATTGGCCAATAAATATATGTGCCCTCCGTCTGTTCTTCACAGAATTACACGTAAAGCTATGTCATCTAACTTTGGAAGTCCAAAAATTTATTTGAAAAATAAAAGATGTGAAGCCAAATTGTGGCATTTTGCATTCTTCACAGTTTGTCTTGTTGGTAACTAGTTTTTTTTTATTTCCAGTATTAGCAACATGAGCTCTGATCAAAAAATGGCTCCCAATGATAAGAAAGACTCGAGATTCCGCGATATTCGTAAGGGATCCCCAGACAGATGGGGCAAGCCAGGGAGGCGTGATAATACACCACCTAAGGAAACCAACAGAAATGACCCCCACTCTATTCGTTGTCGCGTTTTCATCGGCAATCTTCAGATGAGCCGCAAGGAACTTGAAGACATTTTTTCTCAGTATGGCAGAGTGGTGGGCTGCTCAGTCCATAATAACTACGGCTTTGTGCAATTTGAAGATGAAAAATCAGCAGATGCTTCCGTTGCAAAAGAAAATGGCAAAGTTTATAATGGGAAACGAGTAGGTGAGTTACTGAAGAACTGCTTTGGCATCATCAGATTCTACAATTTTTCAGCAGCCAAAGTATTTCACTGAGTATTAATACCATGTAGCTTTCTTTAGCCTTAGCCGCCCATGTCCAGCAGTTTCACCTAAATTTGCCACTAGCTTTTTCTGAAATTAATTAGTATCATTTGTTAAATTCCTATTTGCTGCCTACTGTGTGGTTTTGGCCGTGTGTTGTTAACCTGATTGAACCCCCTGAACATGTGTTGGCCTTTTCTTGATACACTCAGTGATCATGGTGTGTTCTTTTCCCTTATGTAGATGTCAACTTAGCTGGTGATAGAAGAAAGGAAAAGATGGATGATCGGCCACGTGACAGAGACTCCAGACCGCCATTTCCTAGCTTCAATAGGAGAGAACGAGACTTTGACCGGGAAGGAAACAGACCATTTAGAAAATCTCCACCACGAGACAGGCCACGGTTTGAAGATTATGATCGTTTTCCCTCACGATTTGAACCACCCTTCGATCGTCGTGGAAGGTCCCCATCACCGCCACGAAGAATGGATGACCGTCCTTATGGTAGACATGATGATTACTACATGCGCGAGAGATACAGGGATGAGCCCCCTCCCAGAGAACCATACCCAAGAAACTCATTTGACCACAGAGGTGAGCCATTTGACAGAGATCGGAGGGATCCTTATGATTCTCCTAGGGGTCCATACCCTGAAAGAAGAGATGACCGGTATGATCGCTTTGATTCGTATGGAAGGGAAGGCCGTGATGGCGGTCGTGATTACCCTCGTCCTGGTGAGTATCCAGGTCCTGCTAAGAGGCCAAGAATGGAGTATGATGGTCCAGATGATATTTACAGCAGCAGCAGCAAGAGTATTGAGGCGCCAACGGACTGTGTCATAGTTGTGATGAACAAACAACAACGGTAAGTACTTTCATCATACTTGTGATCATAAGTAAATTCTCTACCTGTAGAAAGCTGACAAACTACAGTATCATATTGAAAGTTGTTAGACACAATCATTCCTTAACATGGTCACTCCAATTCCAGAGTCGAACCTGATGGGCAATTACATGTACATGTTATGTGGTTATTGCCAAGTCTTTGCTTAAATTCTGGAGTGTAACCATTCAAATGACAAATATATTACCATGTGCTTTCATATCTTGCAGATGAAATTGGCAGTTTGTTCCATGTGTAATAGTCTTGGATAGATCTTGAAAATAACAGTAGTTCCAATATTTGGTTGAATATTCCTTCCACTTTTTCATACATTTTCTACTGCCGTGAACTCCCCTTTGCTATCCTCTGTCCATGATATCACAGTACTATAGTTTAGGTTGTACTGTACAAAGTATTTTGCTGTTTGATGTTCATATGTACACTTCAGAGTTTCCTGCAGCACACAATTTTGCTGTTGTTGGTTCAATTATCATGACCTTCAACTTTCGCAGGTGTGCAAAATCAATTTGTGAGTTTATTAGCAACTGTGGATATAACATTACATACACAGCTGTCAGTCATCTCTCAAACATATCTCATGTAACTTGCACTTGGTCAAAGTGAATTTTGTGTTCAAAAGGAGTCTTCTGTCTTAAAAAAATCACGAAAAAAATATTAAAGGAAAATGAAAACTTGTGATCAAAATCATAAATTAGTAAAACTGGGCATTACAGGGTCATAGTTAAAAAAGATTTAAGTCTCTTTGAAATAAAATTGTTTTTCTCTTTTGCTATTTTAGTCTTAATTTGCATTTGTTTTAACTAACTCCAAAATCAAATGTGCTTCATTCAAAATCGGGGGCTCTGGAAGTAAACAATTTTAATTTTTCTGATTCAAACTTTTACATTGTTTAAATGCAATGCAATGCAAATTAAATGCTGGTGGCACAAAACTATGTTATTTGAAATTGCTTTTTATCAAGAAAGACCTGAAAGTTTCTTCCACTGCATTATGCTGGTTTTACTGTAACATTCTCTGAGTTGTGGTCTATTTGCTCAATTAGTCTATCAGTGAATCACTGAAGTGACAAGCTAATTATTTTCTCAATAGACTTGATTCTCAACACTTGATTCTTGATTCTCAGGACTATTGAAACTCAAAAAGAGACTCTCAACTTACATTTGCATGGTACTGTATAGCACCTCTGTGCTCACATAGAGGGTCAAGTACATCAACTGCCAAAGTCATGCCATATTTTCTTAAGTCCACTCATTTTTTTTATTTTTGTTTCATCCAGGGGTTATGCAGAAATGGTTCAAAGAAGACTGAAGGCTGTAGGATTGGTAGTAGATCTTCACTTCCATGGGACACAGCCAATCATGGAGCTTTTAGATGATGTGGCTCGCCGTGGTGTTCTGTACGCTATAGTGATTACCAGTCAGCATGAGGTGCATCGCTCAGTGACTGTCAACATTTTGCATGGAACTCCTCAAGGTAAAGATCAAAAACTCCTTGCAGGGATAAAGACACACAATGGTAAGGGGTTTATAGGAAAGAACAAGAACATAAGGTGTATTCCAACAATATACAAGAATTGGGAGGGGAAGGAGGACTCATTCACTCTTGGTTGCCTTCATCAAACTTAAATCTGTTCAAATTCTCACAAGAGTTAACAAATGCTTTTCCCTGCATACAGCTTTAGTGCACTTCAGCTATGGAGCAGTTTCAACTTTTTTTGGTTGCTGCACTTGAATGATAGTCGGTGGGAGTTCAACGCACTTCAACTCTAATCATTATTTGGCCTGAGCTCACAAACAAATGTGATAGCTTGCATTTGAGCATTAATCTTAATTACATGTAGGACTGTCACTCACTATGGGTCATCAAACAGAAGAGTTCAGGGTATACATGTGGTGCAGTTGTCTCGTACACCACACAAAACAGAAAATGTATAACCATGTTCACAAACTCTAGCCTGCTGTTCACAGAAAAGTAATTTTGGGAAGATTTGAAAATTTTTGTGTAAGCAAGTGTACACACTAAAGTTCTGTTGAGTACCTGGAAACTCAGTTTGAGTATACAGTTGAGAGTTGCTATTTCTTAATGTGGGGATTGTAACAGACAAATGAAGTAACTGCTTCATGACAGGTAACTGCTTATAAAGCATCCAGTNCCTCTGCAATCTGACAAAGTGACCATATTCAACTTGATTTACCATAGAAGTCTTCCGTTTATTGTGACATAGTTATCGTAATTAAATGTGTGGTTGTTACACCTTTTCACATTTTCAGTTCTAAAGGCTGCTTGTGACAGAGCAAAGTTGTATTTGTTCTCTTTGAATTTGTTTTATGCAGATCAAATAATGCAAATCAAACCTTTAATTCTGTAGCTAGTAAATTCAGCCAGAGATATTGCACCCGTTTGTAAATATGGAGGAGGGGCATACTTTTAAAACATCAACAGATAATTCTGCTAGCAATGATAAGCAGTTTTTTCCAACAAGGACAGTTGCAACTGCTACTCAAGTCAAATTAATGGCTGATAATTCTGTAAACACTGGATCTTTTAAGTCCACAAAAAATTGCAAGAAATGGCATTTCTTTACATTTGTGTGTCGATATGCACCTTAAGCTGGAATTAAAACTGTCTGAAAGATTAACCTTCATGAGAGATGCTCCCCAAATTTTAAGTGGCACTATGCTGTGGAGTTCTCACTGAAATCATTTTTAAATTTGATTTGTTCGTTCTCGTCATTATCGTCTACCTTGCGGCATAGAGGTAATCAAGAAGGTAGGTTTCTGGCCATGGTTCAGAGCTGCTCCAATAATATCATCTTTGCCATGAAAATTGTTACCTAATGTGTAAAAGTCATGCAGAGCCTTGCTTCAGTAGATGAAGTAAACAAAATATTGATCTACGTAACGGACTGTTGGTCTAAATGCCTACAAAATGCATTGCAGCAATGAAATAAACAGTAGTGCAATGCATTGCAGTAAAAGGCAAAACTTCAAAACCCATTGTATAAATTAGAATTGCTGCCTTTGCTCAGTCGTCCCAGGTTCCCTCAAGGCAGAAGGGATAATATCATAGCAGTCCAGTTCTGGTATTATTAAAATGTCTACACATGCTTTGTATACACGTATAGCCCCTTACCAGCTAGTGGTCGCTTGATTGTTCAGTATTGAACTTATAAATTTGCAGTTGTTGGCTCCTAAGTACGTCTCATTTAATTGGCACAAGAAAAGGTCCACCTAGAGGAGGACTGCAGTTTATACAATGTAGTTCAAGAACACATGAAAGCTCTGTGGTAATAGAACTGGCTGACAGCAAACTTTGAAATATGAAGGTGACTGTTTATCGTAGTAGGAGTGACAAATATTTAATTAACAGCAGTCAGCAGAACTCCACCACCACAGGAAATTGTAAAGAGAGTACCAGAAGAGAAATGGCAGTCTTATTTTCTCCTGGTTAATTACTTCTGGCATTGTTCAATGTAACATTTCTGTAACATAATGGATGCACTAACTAAAAAATGTACTAAAAACATGTCCTTGAAATAACAAAATAAACAGGGGTTATTTTGATAGAACTGTCTGTGTTTAAAATAGGACTAACTGATGACAACATTGTTGTATTCAATAATTAACACAAATGTAATCCCCTATTTATGCAATACTTTTACTGCAAGGTGGCATTTTTGTAACATTTAAGTGACACTCTCAAATTATAGTTTGCATTAATTTTCACCACAGTAGAGAAAGGCAGCATTCTTTGCCATTTTGGAATGCAGGTTTGTTTTTTGCTTCTGTCATTTTGAAAAGGTCACTGTAAGAAATCTGTCTTAGACAACAGATATGCAAGATTTGTAGAGACAGGGTGCATGAAAGCTTTGTATCTTCTTCAGATCATGCAAGAATGTAATTTGTGTCATTTCTACATTAGACTATCGTCTTTCCCTTAAACACCAGTAACTTTTTCTTTATCCTTTGTAACTGCAATAGTCTGTCCAATATTGATATCAGAATTGTTTCTTAAATCTCATTCCAACAACAGAGTATACTGTAACCATGGTCTGCCTTAACAGCTTTGTCAGAGAAGTGCAACTTTGTACTAATCTTTCAATACACACAGGGAAAGATGCACTGATTGGCCCAAAACTGCCGATTCTCTTTCTAAAGAGGTTGGCAAAGCAAACCAGATACTGTACATTAGCTTACACAAATGGAATAAAAATGTTTTGCAGTTGTTTATAACAGGAATGTGCTGATCTTTGTCTGGGAGACAGAACCTGCATTCATTCGGCATGCTATGACACACGACTAACAGATCTCATTTGTAATTTCTTGCCATTGTTAAATTAGTTATTTATATTCTCAAGTATACACTTTTAACTAAAGAATGTCAGTAATGAACACTATGTCGTTGTAGACCATTCTAGCAGTTATCAAATTTTAGGGAAACCACTCATTCAGTTACGGTTTTTCACTGAGTTTCTCCATGCAACAACACAGCAACAACAACAATGCACACTTAATTACCACATACAATATGTAACAAACTTTATACTATATTTCATACTGTGTTAGAATACCAAATGAAATTGCTTGTTTACTTAACGTTAAATTTAGCTACACATATTTTTACAATATTATGGTATTATGGCACTAAATATCCAGTTCTGTTACAGTAGCAGAGATCAGTGTTGTTTGTCACATGCAGCACATGGTCAACGTGTCCTGAATGAGGATACAATATTAGTTCTTTTGTCCAAGACTACATATAGGCTCGATTTCCGCTGCTTCGTCGTGTCCGGTCTATTCCTTTCCTGAACAGTGGCTGGTAATCCAGCATAGAACTACATGTTGCGCTGACGTAGTATTTTTTAAAAGGGACAGTCTGATAGTCTGACTTTGCTTAACCTTTTGATTATGTCTAGTTTTGGAATTGTTATCATGTCATTATATTTGTTATTTTTTTCGTTGTTAGATAATATATGTAACGTTTGACCGACATGTTAGTATGTTGCTGTGGAATGATACAGGAGGGAGGGGTTTTGTTTGGTGTTTTTGGTACCTCTGCAGTGTTTCAGCCAGAGCGCGCCATTGCGGGAATCCCGCGTTACAATCAGAGATGGCCCCCAGAAAAACGAAAAAAGGGCCAATTTGGCCCTTTCCTTTTACATGACTGCAGGCTTAACACAGGCATAATATTTTAAAAGCCATCCCAGGGTTGGAAATTGTGATCGATACGGTCGCCAATGCAACAAGCATTTCATCCTTGGCGACCAAAAATTCTGGTTTAGTCGCCATAATACGGCATAATGGCGACTACGTTTCTCTGTGTTGACGATCAATAACGGTTATTTTGTCACAAATTATGTCCTTCTAGATAATCATATTGAAAGATCTTTGCTTCTAAAACATTCAACATAAGAAAAGAAGTCAATCCGTCCTTTTACTTTGCAGTATTGATTCTCTCACATCGGAAAACTTCAAAATCGTCCTATAATGCATTGCAAACCCTTGATCATTGACTACGTCATGTATGCCTAAGGATTGTTCTCTTGTAATGCACGGATCCTTCATACTAGTATCTGATTCAAAAGAAACTTTATTGAGTAGAAACACTTCAGAAAGCACTTACTATTAAATTTTATCATAGATCCTAATAAACTGCTTTATTTTGCTTGGTACCCTGATGCATTTTTTCCTTCTGTGGCTTTCAATTTATTGGCCCCTTTCCTGAAAAATTGGCCCCTAAAAAGATCTTTAGGGGCCACTTTGGCCCGGCTCAAGTAAAATTATCTGGCTGAAACACTGGAGCCTCTGCAATACGTTGTCTGTTGAAACATGCACACAGTTCTAACAAACCTGTACATAGCATATGGATGAAGATGTGCAAGTAAAATTATATAATTCATTAGTGTAAAGTGACCTTTGTTGTATTACTTTAATTGTTTGTGGGAGTAAGAAGTTTTAGGGTTGGTACAATACAAAAATTAAATACTTTGAATCAATGTTCCTTGCTGCAAACTAATAAGACAACCGAGTTTTACATTATAATTTTAAATTTAGTTCTGTTCTGATACACTGTACTTGTTAAGTGGTGTTGCTGAGTGTTGTGGGTAATGTGTATATACAATTTCCGATGTAAATACACATGTAAACAATGTGTTCGTGTGCAATTACAATAATTATTATTTATAAGTATATTGTGACCTACGTTGCGTTTATGTGTAATGTGTTTTTATCATCAGCGAGCTGAGAAACAAAAATATTTAACTGACCTAAAGTTTCCATTTCAAAATAATGGAGGCATTAAGCTTTTCATGTATCTGTACGTTACACAGTGCAACAGAAAATCACATTTCGCCATTTCATAATCAAATTTTAGTTGCTTTTAACCAGTCCAAGGGTGACAAAGCTGACAGTAGATGCCAAGTGTGGAAGTTACTTTTTATTTCTCTTGTTTCAACTTCAAACCCATTTTATCTCCACACAGAGCATAGAAACATGCCTCTCGATGATGCTATGAGACTCGTTGGACAAAATTTTGATCAGTACATGCAAGATCTACGTGAACGAGCTAAAGTTAGCGGCGCACGGGACAGTAACAAGGACACGCCTGCAGCAATCCCCAAAGATGAGAAGACCACTGAGATATCGAGTCTCTTGAGTAAAGCAGCTACCGGAGCAGATCTTTCTGCCGAACAGCTAACAAAACTGATTGACAGCTTGTCTAAACGCCAAGAAGAAATTCTGGGAAGTTCTACAACTGCCAACGGCAAAGGAGGTAAAAACGCAAGGCATGATTTTTTTTCCTGCTCCTGCTGTCGACAAGATTATGACTTCACTGTCTCGACAACTTACTACAGCCATCTTTATTTAGCTAAATTACTTGAAATAGAAAATGGGTTCCTTACAAGTAGGCGTGCTTCACAACATACTCATCCACCACATCTTACTTTCTCCCATACAATCATGTATTTCTCTAACCCGTCTCCTGGAACCTTGGAGGGCCGTGTATTAAAGAATTTTATAAGGGGAGGTGAGAAACGTGTCATTGATCATGAACATATGGCTGTTATTAGATTTCACGTAGAAATTATCTGCAAAGAAGTGGAAATTCAGGGGAAATATCTCAAATTCCCTCTCATTTGAATAATAATACAAAGGATTTTTTATAGGTGGCTCCCAGTTTAATTAAGTTTTGCGTTGACCTTGTCAGTGTCCGTTAAGAAATACAAATTGATGAACTGACTTTCTTTGGCAAGAACCCACTGCATCATAATACAGATGATATAAAGAATTCTCAAGGTTGTCCGTAGATAACGGGGCATCATTCATTTAGAGTCTCAATCAGCTAGCAAACCTTGGTACATTGTCAGGAAAAACTGCAATTTCTTTTCTTAAGTGACAAACCTTAATTGTACAAACGGTCTTTTATCTCACCCAAAACAGAAAGTTGACAAATGCCCGAATTGTCAACCTCATCCAATGATTACGAATTAACTGGCTATGAGGTGACTTTTAGATTATTGTCGGTTCTACAGTTCACAAAATTTGTGAAATTTTATGTGTAAGGAACAGCGCAGTGCAACTGAAACAGTGTTTTAAAAAAAAAAAAAGAAAAGAAAAGGAAAGAAAATTGAAATAGGTGGCTGCCTCGGGGCAGCACCTGTTGGATAACAATAAGAGAGGGTTAGCCAGAACAACTCCCTCTAGAAGGTCAGTTTTTGAAAACGTCATGCATTCACGACAAAATACTGGCCGGTGTAAGGTCTTATTGAAAGCTCCTTACCTAAACTTAAGGTAAATCTAATTAGAGCCATGAAGGAAAAGGGTTGATGAAGAGATGGTCACGGTGTTTATATGGGCTGGGGAAATCACTAATGGAATGGAATGCCGTTCTGTGTTGGTTATCCAGAACAATCTCCCGAGCCAGGTGGGCATTAAATTGTGTCAAATAAGTCTTAAGTGTAAATTTGCTACCGAATTGACAGTGACCTTCTTGATTCCCCTTGGTTTTAACTTTGTTCAGTGTGCCCTTCAGGAAAGCTATTCTGTTATATGTATTAAATTAGTACAGTTGTAATTCCAGTATCGTGTGCCCTTTCCATTTGGTTTTCGTACAGGTGTGTTTCACTGCAGACGTGATTAATACACTCTGTTAAAAAAAGAAAGAAAGAAAACAAAACTTAACAAAGTGACTTACACCCAAAGTATCTTGAGCCGTTGAAGATTGTGAAGATCAACAGGCCTAATATAAATACAATACAATTTAACTGAGGTAGTAGGAAAAATTATTGACTATTGTTGGTTATCACATGTTAGTTTTCAACTGTTCATCTTGGTTCCATTTGCACCCACTTTTCTTGTCAGGCATAACGAGTAGTCAACCCAGCCAGCCAGCTGTTGACCCACAGTCCATCGCCAAACAGCAAGCGGACCTTCAAGCAAAAATATTAAGCATTTTGAATCCTGGTGGAGGTGCCAAGCCTGCTAGTAGTATTAGTACTGCTAGTCCCCGTTCTCAGCAGACAGGTGGTGTCACTGCACCAGCTGTACCAACTCCAGCCAAACCAACCGCACTGAGTACCACTGCAAAACCGATATTTCCATTGTATCCAACGCAACCAAAACCAGCTGCCTCTTCGGCCACTAGTGGATTTATCTCAACATCTGGAGTTGCAGCAGCTATAACGAGAGTTTCAGCAGGTGCAACAGCATCAAGATCAGCCTCTTCCACAGGAGCAACTCAAGTTGGAAATGCTTATCAATCAGCGTCACCGTACGGTCAAACAGCTGCTTCTATGGCAGCAAAACAAGCAGCATCGTATCAATTTCCGAAGCCTACAACTCCTGCAGCTCAAAGTACTTATACTGTGGGCTCTAATCAAGCAGCTGTGGGAGCCTCATCAAGTTCTGTTTATGGCTCCCAGGCAGCTCGGCCATCTCAGAACTACTCAATAGGAACTCAGGCACAGTCTGGGAAGTTTGGTCAGCCTCAGCAATCTGCAGCTACTGCCGTCACGCGCTCTCCAATTCCTGTTGTTTCCAAATTCAGCCCTGCTGGACAAGCTATTGGTACGGTTGGAGCATCAAGACCAGCTGTTAACTCGGCACAAAATATTGGCCGAGGAACACCTACTTCTGTGGGTGGTCCAAGGCCCGCCTCTAGTATCATTGCAGGCCAGGTACGAACCCCATCCCCTGGTGTTGCCAAAGGAAGAGCTGGTTTACTAGGAGCGTCTCCAACAAGTGGAATTGCAACTAGGGCACTTGCACCATCTGGGGCTGTGAGGCCCCCATCAGGCACTCCAGGTGCACGCATGGGTGCCCCCAGAGGCCCCTCACCGGTAGGCAGAGGCACTGTGAGGACTCCTTCTCCAGCAGGCATGCAAGGTCGAGGTGCTCCAGCTCGAGGTGGGGCAGTCCCAGTTCGTGGTGGAGCAATCTCTGTTCGAGGTGGAGCAACTGGAGGAACATCTGGAGCTGGTGCAACAAGACCACCATTAACGAGTCCTGGAGGCACTGCCCTGCAAACTGCTTCCCCAAATAGGGGTGCCCTTGCTCAGCGAGGTGCACCAACAGTACGTGGTATTCCAAGTAGAGGGGGTCCAACTGGTGCAGCTCGTGGTACTCCACCAAGTCGTGGAGCTCCAACCCCTCGTGGTGCTCCAACCCCTCGTGGTGCTCCAACCCCTCGTGGTGCTCCAACCCCTCGTGGTGCTCCAGGCCCTCGTGGCTCTCCCATGCCTCGTGGTTCTCCTTACATGCGTGGTGCTCCAGGTGGTCGTGGTGCTCCTTCATCCCAAGGTGCTCCAATACGCCCAGTGGTCCGTGGAGGTCCTTCTGGACAAGGAGGTGCCATAAATCGCGGTGCTCCGAGGGGTCGATCTATGATGCGTGGTGGCCCTTCATTTCGTGGAGGCCGTGGAAATCCTGGTGGATATGGTGGATATTGATTTAGCAGCGTGATCAGGATTACTGGACTTTTTAAATGCAGCTCCACTGAACGGACTTGTCTTTTTTCACAGTGAACATCTATTTCTGCCATGACAGTTAGCGTTGCATTGTTATTATGAGGTTTACGCGTGCCCTTGTTTAAGTCATTGTGTGTCTGTTTGCTCTATTTTCATTTGTGATGTGTTGTCTTGAGCATCACTGTTGACATCTACATTTCTGCATGTGTAAAATTTTTATCTGTAATTTTACAGTTGTAATCTTGAATCTTCCCAAGTTTTTATTGTCAACGGCTATTAACTTGTTAAATCTCTTATTTAGCAGGGCATTTACAAAATGTATTTTATGGTCTTTATGAAATAACTAGCAGATATGTGACAACGTTTTAATTAATACAAAGCACATTGGTGTTTGTTTTTCCAACTGTTATAATTAAACTTATACATCGCAATCTTAGAGACGTGTAAATTGTTCTGTTGACCTTCAGGGATTCACTGTGTTCTGAAAACCATGAAATGAATTGTTGAATCGTTGAATTCGAGACCTTGAGAACTCATGGCACCGATAATTATATAGCTTTATTTTCCCTTGTGTTTGTATCTCAACTGGTCTCTGAACCGTTCACCGCTGTACTGGGTTTGCACGTCTGGGGCGTGGTTGTGATATGTTATCTATTGATTCCTGTCGTGATACATGTATGTTCACACAGGTTGTAGCCAAAGCTTGAATTGACAAATTCTTTTTAACTCTAGTTTCGTGAATGTTCAAAACCAAGTGAATAAGAAAGGTTATCACAACTCAAGCGCTGACGATAAATAAGTAAATAGTGTGCGACTTATGAGACCTTTAGTCTTCTTTGAACAAAACACTTTATTTTTATGTATATTTTACTATTTTCGCGGTCTTTATTTTGCTTCTGTCACAGCCTATAGAGGTCCCAAGGAATAGGCCCACATCCTTCGTTGCCGCCATTGATCGACGACTGTCTCAACGTGTTTCGCTGATGATTGTCGGGTCGTGATCCTGATCTGTGAGCTTAGCCATTCTCAGTAAACGTCCCTGCTTCGCAATAGCCAAGTAATGATTAAGCTGAGGTTACTCGGGTCGAGGTCAACACATGGCGAAACAACTGAGGGCATTGCCGTATTATGCCAACAAGATACATTTTGTAATAACCATGAAACAACAAAATATGACTAACAGTAGTAGTTAAAAGAAGCCTTCCTCGTCTTTGTATATAGCGCCTGCATTTTTAAGATTGTTTGGACAGGTTGTAACAAAATCATATTACCTTCACCTTTAACATCCATTACCTGCTGATAATTTTAAGAGATAGAGAATAAATGTGATACCGAGTATCACATTTATATGCCTATTCTCTTGATAGTGTCGTCTCAGTTTTGTATTTTAACGTGCTAATGCTAATGTACCATCTTGCAGTATTTAAATTTCTGCTACCTGTATGTCACCTCAGTCTGAAGATGATATAGAATTATACCGAAAAATTACAAGCACATCAACGATTCCTTGCATTTGTTGCCTGTATTATATAGACAGTGCAATACTCGGTATCACATTTATTCTCTTCGCCTTTAACGGAGTAAGTGAAACGCAGTTTCTCGTTCAATGGTCCCCTCCTGTGGATGGAGTAAACCAGGGTAATTTATAATATGTTATCGTTTTAGTATTGTACTGTTTCTTATTCTTATATAATCAACAACGAAGAGACTCTGTAATAGCTTGATCGTCAACCGATATCCTGGATTACAGACCACACAGGTTTCGTAAGTGAACACTTTCAGGGCCACCTTTTTTGGGTGCCATTTCGTGTTTGACATTCTAACTTGCTTTATTTCATTATTTTATTTTGTAAGTTTTCCACTGTAGGACTTGAACTGGTAGCTGGGATGAAAACAACGGCTTATAAGACTAACAGATACCTAAAGGGCTGCAAGGAGAGTGGCCATTTCACCGATAATACCAAGTTGACATTGTTGATGAATGTCTACGGTCTTGTGTCGAATTATGATAGCCTTTTGTTCGACATTTATCTCCGCTGTACTTTGGGGTTGTTGACATTATCCTGATAAATTCTCCTACCTCTTAAGTAACAGACAAATATATTAAAGAAACACCTCCGTGTTACACAGAATTTCATTTTGGGGAAAATTGCCGTTCCTTTGCCTTTGTAAACTTCTTGACGTCCTTACATACAAGAGCCCTGTATTTAATGTCCAATCATCCTTAGATAATATGCATACGTATCTGTCATATAAGTTGGAACAATGTCTGCTGAAGTTATTACACAGTGTAACATTGACTTGAACCATCATTGTTAATTGTCCTCGAAAAAGACAACCTAACGAACTTAAAATTTTTGGAGTTAAATCTTATTGGGCGCCAATAAAATGGAACTTTTAAAAATAAACAATTTTATAGTTCCAAATGGTTCAGTGACACCTTTTATATCATTGTGAACGAAGAAAGACGATTCGGTGCACTTTTAACGACTTAAATATGTTATTGTTACGTATTATTGTTAGATTATTTTTGGTTTGAGATGTAATAAGTACGTTTTAGCTCTTTTAACCTTAATCCCCCCGTAGATCCACATCAGCTCATGACAACCCCTCACAACCTACTGAGCAAATAAAGTCAATAACAATATATAGTAGGATATATAGCCATAAAGGTATTTTTCGAGTCTTGAAAATACGTTCTCTATTTTCCAAGCCTGCAACTATAAGCTGACCTTTGATCCAACTCTGAACTACAACCGTAACTATACATCGAAACTTATTGTACGCCTACTGACAGCTATAGCTCACCTGACTCTTAAACTCCAACCCTCTCCTGACGTTTGGCAGCTGCGGCTCCGTTAGTTCAGCTGGCAGTCATATGCATTTCAACAGAAATTCTACTTTCCTTGAGTTTCTTTCCTCTATGTTGATTTGTGTTCCTGTCCTGAAGATAACGTGCTATTGACTGGTCGGTGGAAATTAATTGTGGAGCCAAGAGGAACTTAACTGCCTGGTGAGTCTGACTGTTGTCCTTAAAAGAACAAAAATACACAACCGGTAGCAGCGTTCTCGCTTGTTTGTTGGTGTTTTTTCGCTCATTTTTAAGCTAAGCCCTCCTCATAAATCACCAGGTTTGGAACTGAGAATTGTCCGTTAAGAGCCAGCAGTATCTATCTCACTGAATACCTATATTTCAGTTGGCTGCGAAGACCGGTTGACCACTGGAAAGTGCCAAAGAAAATATAAACTTGAAGCCTGGTACCTGATTTACCGTACGAATCAGTGTTGCGACCTAAATTCGGTCAAGCGAGCGCCTTGAAATCATGAAAAGGAAAAATAACAGCCACAAGGATGTGTTGTGGATCTTTAGCAAATGTCACCTTTTATCGTGTTCCTGTGCTGCTTTCATTCTTGATCCTGTTTCTGAAGGGCATTTAGTTTTAGGGAAATGGCACTTGGGGTACCAAAGAACTGTCTTAATACCTATTGTTTCTGACCGCTTATTTTGTTAATATTTATTGCGTTTTTGATTACATTTCTATCGACTATGCGAGTTCAGCCCAGCGAAATTTTACAAAAAATAATGGCGCTTTATAAATCTTTTTTTTTNGGTGGTTGGTCAGTGTATTGGTTGCTGGGTTCCCGGTCTTGCCAGCGGTCAGTGGTCTTGTCTGCTGCTCAGGCTTGCATTGCATCGGGCTTGCGCGTGACGTTGGACACGAGGTGTATGTTGGTCCTCGCACTCCTGTGTAAGAAATTCCTGTACAACCATTCTTTGCACTCCTAAGATTCCTGTGAAGGGCGGTTCTGAAAACTCGTGGGTTACAATCAATTTTGTTTATGAAAGACAGGCAAAAAACGGTGGATTGACGGCAGTTTGTGCTATTGATTTTGGCAACCACGCCTTACAGATTCAAGGCACACTATTCTTTTTTCATGGGGACTGGCATGAAGACCAGGAAGGCCATTTGTGACAGGCTCTTTTTAGCGTTTTATTTTGTGTCCGAGCCCACGGTTCACAGAACTCGCTCACAATTTAATCAATTTTGGCAACAAATGACGGGCTAAAACGTTAAAGTGACGGGCTTTAGTCACGCAGACAATATGTAAAGATCACAATGAGCGGGGTAAAAACTAACAGCTAATCTGGATTTACTGCGACTAAACAATCGGGAACAAATCGCAAAAATTAATTGTTAATATTTATGTTCAAAATCTCACTGTATATATCAGCATGGGTCAGATCAGGAGATCAGGGCATCAGGCCGGATCGAATTCGTAATGATGCCGGAAGTGAAACGCTTGTGTTCTGTTTACTTTACATTTTATTAATGCGTCACGCAACTAGCGTACTTGCGTCAATGGGAGCAAGTGAACGAATCACCCGACACCGAGAGATTATGATCCTTGCCCGGAACTGATTCCCCTGACTGGTTTTGTATTCCTTTGGTATCATTATTATTTCTATCCATGAAATAAAGCAAGTAACAACAGATTAACGCCCTTAGTTGGCTTTGACAAAAGAGCCGCGTGGACGTTCCTGGGATGGAATTCTAACCTGGGTAACAATCTGTTTTGATAAAGAGTCGTAAATACTAAGTCCCAAAATACTAAATGCAACCCTTACATCAGGAAGAGACTGTCGTATAATGCACACTTTCCGAGAACAAGCAAACGGGTTTTGAAACTGCAATAAGCGTAAAAAACTCTCTTGGCCTTTAATAAACAACTCCACAAATCAAAACGGCGTGGTACAAAGAGTGTGCATACGAGCGG